CGATACATCCTATCTTCACAGCATATATTGAGTTAGTAGAAATAATGGGAATGAGGTACCAGAAGGTGTGGACCGATATATTCCATCTTCACACTAGATCTCGGTTTAGTAAAAATATTGTGATGTGCGTAATTTGAAGGCAATCGAAATTTTACAGCACATTTTAGAAGAGATAAAATTATGCAAAATATTGACCCTTTGTGGGGGAGGTACTTGATAGAGTGGACGATTGGTGTCCATTTTCGCACCTAACCTAGCACTGATGTAAATATTAGGATTCGTAAAGTTGGTTGCAAAATCGGATTATCTCGGTGCAGTGGAATATTTTTTTTTAATTTTCCCCTTTTGTGGGAGAGGTATCAGAATCAGTTGCCCGATATTCCATTTCCGCACCAGATCTTGGGTTAATAAAAATATTGTAAAATATGCAATTTGAAGGCAATCGAGCACTTGCATCACATTCTATATGAGTTATAAATTGTATAAATAAAAAATGTTGACCCTTTGGGTGCGAGGTATCTGATGGAGTGGTCTATACTGACCATTTTCGCACCTGACGTAATATTAGGATGGAAATATTAGGATTTGCAAAGTTGGAGCAAAATCGGATTATCCTGTATATTTTTGTGCAGTAAAATATATATATATTTTTTTTTGTTTGTATGGTTTTTTTTTTAAATTTTTTTTTTAATTTCGACCTTATGTGGGGGAGAACCGGCCGATATTGCCATCTCCGATCTCAATCTAAGTTCGATAATAATATTACGGTGTACCAAGTTTGGACCAAATCGGATACTCTCATCGAGAGTTGTCGTGCGCACCAGCCAAACAGACAGAGATACACTAGATCGACTCCAAATGTCCTGAAACGGATTTGGCTCAAAAAGGCCTAGGGTCTAAAACCGTTATTTCGATGAGGCACCTTTTCGCCATAGTCATAAGTTTAAGGCTATAATTAATTATTCGAATTGCAACTGAAAAAGGTGTAGGAAAGATAAATTTTTGAATTTTTACGAATTCAGGAAAAAAACATTTATTAGCTTCTCAATTTGGCTTCATTGTCATAACATCCCTCGTACATCAGCCAGACATGTTTTGCTTATTTATATTGTTAAATAAATATAATTATCAGTTAATTTTATGTAACAATAAGGGCTTTGATGGAACTGTTTTTTTTTCTCTTTCACAATTTACTATCAGCTCCTAAGATAGGGTGCTACTAAGTGATGTGTGCTATTCATTTTGAGGACTTCAAGATATGTGTATGTATGTGTGTATGTCAAACACATCATTCATTTGCTTCCACAACATGCTTAAGACCCTTACTAATTGAATTAAATATAAGTTCTTAGCAAAACATCTTATGAAGTGCTTAGTAATACTAAAAATTAATTCACTCATTCCAAGGGAATTAATCAATGATTTGCCTGTCATTGTCCTGTCATTAAGAGAATGGTCAAAATTAAATAAATGTTATCATTTATAAGAAATTAAGAGAAACATTTGTTAAAGGGCCTGGGAAAGAATTCGTAATTTGCCACAGTTGATAATAGTTTACAATAACCTGGTTAATTAAAACGGTAAAATATGATTGTATCAAATCCTGATTGAAGGACCAAGAGAGGTATGATATCTCAAAACATTTTTTGAAAATTTTGCATAAAGATTCCTTGGAATCCGTTGTTTTTAGGTATACAGGTTGAGATAAATAAACTGCAACAAAGTCAAATGCCATAATTTTTATTTTTTTTTTTTTAATTTTATTGAATGAAAGCAAAAAATGTCGGAAATAGCATCAAATTTTAGAATAGGTTTAGATTTGTTCGAATTGGTCACCTTTGGCACGAATTATGGTCTTCAATGGCCAATGAAATCGTCACACGCTGGCCGAATGTTGCTCTGCGGTATTTTGGCCCATTCCCGGCGAAGCACTTGCTTGAGGTGATCGACACTTTGGTATTTTTTAGTGCCAACCTTACATTCCAAAATATTCCAGACACAATAGTCCAACCGATTGGTATCCGGATATTTTGGTGGTTCATGGCGCTTGCTGAGTGCGATGGTGCTGAGTCCTGTTGGAATGTCCACGGGCTGCGGCCAAAATTTTTGCGTGCCCAAGGCTTTAATATACCTTCCAGAATATTTTCGCGATAATATTCAGCATTTAATCTGATTAATACGGGCAGATATCGACCATCGGCTGTTATGGCGGGCCACACCATCACCATGGCCGGCGCTTGAGTTCTAGTGGCCAACCGAAGGTGCATATTTTCAGCTGACCTCTTTGGCAAGTAATCCCGATGATTTTGCTAGTTTTTAAACTGCTGGACAACGAATGTTTTCTCATCGGAGAAAATCAATTTGGCAGCTCACCACTTTCGGCCAAGCGAAGCAACTCTTTAGCTCTGTCGAGTCTATTTTATTTCTTTCTGTTGTTTCAAGGACCATTCATACCATACCCGTGGATTTTCAAAGAAGTTCTGTTTCAAGGACCCTCCAGGGCATAAACGTAGATTTTTAAAGATTTTTTTCAAAGGCGCTCCAAGGCATTAACGTGAATTTTAAAGAAGATTTTTTTAAAGGACCCTCCAAGGCATAAACGTGGATTTTTAAAGAAAATTTTTTCAAGGAACCTCCAAGGCATAAACGTGGATTTTTAAAGAAAATTTTTTCAAGGAACCGCCAAGGCATAAACGTGGATTTTTAAAGAAAATTTTTTCAAGGAACCTCCAAGGCATAAACGTGGATTTTTAAAGAAAATTTTTTCAAGGAACCTCCAAGGCATAAACGTGGATTTTTAAAGAAAATTTTTTCAAGGAACCGCCAAGGCATAAACGTGGATTTTTAAAGAAAATTTTTTCAAGGAACCTCCAAGGCATAAACGTGGATTTTTAAAGAAAATTTTTTCAAGGAACCTCCAAGGCATAAACGTGGATTTTTAAAGAAAATTTTTTCAAGGAACCGCCAAGGCATAAACGTGGATTTTTAAAGAAAATTTTTCAAGGACCCTCCAAGGCATAAACGTGGATTTTTAAAGAAAATTTTTTCAAGGAACCTCCAAGGCATAAACGCGGATTTTTAAAGAAAATTTTTTCAAGGAACCTCCAAGGCATAAACGCGGATTTTTAAAGAAAATTTTTTCAAGGAACCGCCAAGGCATAAACGTGGATTTTTAAAGAAAATTTTTTCAAGGAACCTCCAAGGCATAAACGTGGATTTTTAAAGAAAATTTTTTCAAGGAACCTCCAAGGCATAAACGTGGATTTTTAAAGAAAATTTTTTCAAGGAACCTCCAAGGCATAAACGTGGATTTTTAAAGAAAATTTTTTCAAGGAACCTCCAAGGCATAAACGTGGATTTTTAAAGAAAATTTTTTCAAGGAACCTCCAAGGCATAAACGTGGATTTTTAAAGAAAATTTTTTCAAGGAACCTCCAAGGCATAAACGTGGATTTTTAAAGAAAATTTTTTCAAGGAACCTCCAAGGCATAAACGTGGATTTTTAAAGAAAATTTTTTCAAGGAACCGCCAAGGCATAAACGTGGATTTTTAAAGAAAATTTTTTCAAGGAACCTCCAAGGCATAAACGTGGATTTTTAAAGAAAAATTTTTCAAGGAACCTCCAAGGCATAAACGTGGATTTTTAAAGAAATTTTTTTCAAGGAACCTCCAAGGCATAAACGTGGATTTTTAAAGAAAATTTTTTCAAGGAACCTCCAAGGCATAAACGTGGATTTTTAAAGAAAATTTTTTCAAGGAACCTCCAAGGCATAAACGTGGATTTTTAAAGAAAATTTTTTCAAGGAACCTCCAAGGCATAAACGTGGATTTTTAAAGATAATTTTTTCAAGGAACCTCCAAGGCATAAACGTGGATTTTTAAAGAAAATTTTTTCAAGGAACCTCCAAGGCATAAACGTGGATTTTCAAAGATAATTTTTTCAAGGAACCTCCAAGGCATAAACGTGGATTTTTAAAGAAAATTTTTTCAAGGAACCTCCAAGGCATAAACGTGGATTTTTAAAGAAAATTTTTTCAAGGAACCTCCAAGGCATAAACGTGGATTTTCAAAGATAATTTTTTCAAGGAACCTCCAAGGCATAAACGTGGATTTTTAAAGAAAATTTTTTCAAGGAACCTCCAAGGCATAAACGTGGATTTTTAAAGATAATTTTTTCAAGGAACCTCCAAGGCATAGACGTTGATTTTTAAATATTTGTTTAAAGGACGCTCCAAGGCATAAATGTGAATTTTTAAAAAAGATTTTTTCAAGGACCCTCAATGGCATAAATGTGAATTTTTAAAGAAAAAAATCTCCTAGAACCATCAAGGCTATAGACATGGATTTTTAAAGAAAAAAATCTCCTAGAACCATCAAAGCCATAGACATGGATATTTAAAGAAAAAAATCTCCTAGAACCATCAAAGCCATAGACATGGATTTTTAAAGAAGAATTTTCTCTAACCATAAACGTGGATTTTTAAAGAAGACTCTCTCCAGGGACCATAAACGTGGATTTTTAAAGTAGATTCTCTCCAGGGTTTATAAACGTGGATTTTTAAAGTAGATTCTCTCCAGGGTTTATAAACGTGGATTTTTAAAGTAGATTCTCTCCAGGGTTTATAAACGTGGATTTTTAAAGAAGATAAAAAATTTTTTCTAAGGACCATAAACGTGGATTTTTTAAGAAGATTCTCTCCAGGAACCATAAACGTGGACAAATATTGAACCTCAATTCTTCATACAATGAGTGGAACAGTTGCTCTTTCCGCTTCCTGTCATCCTAAAATGCAATACCCTTTTAAACCGTATCACATGTGTAAATTCCATTCATATTTGAAACAATTTCATTTTCCAATAAATTCAATATTTAATTGGAAATTGTTGACCATTGTTTGTTGTTAACTAATAACAGAAGTGCCACCAGGAGATCGCTTTAGGTTTTTTAATTTTATTTTGATAATAATTTAATTTGTACTCCATTCCATTTGTATTTTTTAGGTGGCTTTATGGGAGACATTGCTTTGCCCGACATGGAGTATGATGATGGATATCCTTTGGTGGCCTATACCCAAATGTGGGAGGAGCCCATGCAAGCGGATGCTCCCATCAATGATGCACCCAGTAAATACAACGAAACATTCCAAAAGGAAATGGAAATATTAAAACAAGAGGTCTACAACGAGGGTTTGCAGGTGGAAGAGGAGGGTCTCACCGATATTATACGGCGGAAAACCAAGTTGCCGAGCAATAAACCGGATTTGAATAATGATAATTCAGAGGTAGTATTTGAATAATTGAAAAATTTATAAATAATTAATTATTTCAAAATGATTTTTTCTTTAGTCCTTTGCCAATGAATTATTGAAACCCAAAACGCATCCCAGCTATGAAAATATAAACTACAAAAATGATGTCATCAGCTCGGAGGACCATGAGCCCCGAAAATATTCCATAAACATACCCAGCAAATTTAGTGCAATGGGAAAAGATGACCTGCTGACGGAGAAACCAGATAAAACCTTCAACACTTCCCTGGAGAAACTGGAAAATATTCTAACCAACGGTAATGAAAAGTCACAAATCGAAGAGGAGAAATACAACAAATCGTCGGTGGGTTTAGGCAATCGTAATGTGGATCAACGTAAAATCCAATCGAATACCAAAGACATCGAATTGGATACTGGCAATAATTTCGTTTCGGAACGTAAGGTTGTCATTTTGCCAACAGCTGTGCCGGCCCAACGTTCCACGTTGCCCAATGTCTATAGCAATGCTGGCGGCAATGGCATGAAATTGGATGATATACAAGAGTTGAAGGGTAGCAGTACCATTATTAAGCGTAGAAATAGGAGGGGGAGGAAAAATAGGTGAGTACAAAAAAAGAAAAAAAAAAACAAATTAAAAAGCACTATGTTCGGCCGGACCGAAGTTTGAATGAATTTTGGAAAAAAACTAGAAAATATAATACGTTAAAAATTCCATTTTTTTAGACGCAGCAATACCAACAGCAGATCCGATTACAACCTTCGCATGCAACAGCTGAGAGAGGAACTAACTCGCCCGGTGGGCGAGGAGAAGAAACCCCATCATCGCCAACATCACAGTCATCAACATCATCTCGTCACAAAACCGGAACAGAAACATCATCGCCAAGAACACGATTCCATTAAAAAATACTCTGAGAAAATATCGAATAATTTTACCGACAATGAATCCCTTAACGAGGAAATGAGATATTCGAAGTTGAGCGATATATTTTTGGATATGGATTCTGAACCGGAACGAAAGCACAAGCCAAATATTGTACCCGCTTATGAGGCTGAGGAAGAGGAGTAAGTTGAAAATATGTTTTTAGAGGTTTGCTTTGTTAAAGGGAACACCATATGTTTATGATTTATGTATTTATATCTCCTTCGAGATGAGGCTAATAATCTGAAAATTGAGTTAGATGCTTATTTCGCTTTATTTGATCTTTTTGTTTTTCAAAATTTTTAACCCTTTGTGGGGGAAGTGCGACGAAGAGTACACCGATATATATTCCATTTTCACAGCAAATCTTGTGTTTGTAGAAATAATGGCATGTGTGAAATATGAAGAGAACCGGATGCTTATTCGGATTTTATAATTGTTTTGGTTATCCGAAATTTTGACCCGTTATGGGGGGAGGTACCAGAAGTAGTGGATCGATATATCCCTTATTTACACCAGACCTTGTGTTAATAAAAATATTTGAATATGTGAAATTTAGGGACAATCGAATTTTTATTTCATATTTTATGCGAATTACAAGTATTCCGAATTTTGACCCATTTTCGCACCTGATCTAGCACTTACAAATTTAGACCTTTTGTGAGTGTGGGGGGGGGGGGGGGGGGGGGGCTACCAGAAGGACCTATCGACCTAATTTTGACCATAAACCAAATCGGATACTCCTTTCGAGAGTTATCGTGCGCATCGTACGACAGACTCCAAATGTGCCGATACGTATTTGGTTAAAGGGATGTAACGTCTATAACTGTTATTTCGTTGGCCGTATTAAATGATATATATCGTCTGTGGTCATATTGCTGAAGGTATTATGAGGTATAGCGATTGACTTTTCCCACATTTTTATCTAGGCCCACGTTTTCCTATAGCGCACATATAACGGTACAAAACGATATTCGGTATTTCGATAATCCGAGAAATACTCTCGAACTTGGTATTTGAAACTCGCAATAGATAGCAACCCTTGTAGTATAAAATTGTCTATATAGGTTCCCGTTTTGATATGACCCCCGTATAATAGCCTAACCCACTTTATGGTTTTTTGATAAGTTTAACTGCATTATCCCAATGGTCTTATTGGTATTTGTGGTTTAAAGTGGGACATGTTTCAGATTCTAGTTACTTTTTTATAAAAATGTTTTCTTTACCCTACTACTTTTCTTTTATGGAGGGTTTTAAAATTTCGACCTTGCAGAACTTAAGGCCGGTGTGTGAAACCCTGTTAGAGTAATGTAAAGTGATTTTTTTAACATTTTAATATGAACGCTTTTGTAGCAGACTTTTTAACGCGCCTATAAAGCATTTTCTTCCAGATAACAAATTATGTGAAGCGCCTTAAAATATGCGATAAAAAAGCTTAACATAAATGTAGAAAAAATTGCTTTGCATGTGGCATTATATATACTAGCCTCTAGTGTTTTTTATTCTTGTTTTCATATGTTGATAGGGTGCGTATACGTATTGTCAACAGTTATACGCACCAATGTACCTCAAAAACAAAAATACCAATTTTCAATTCCCATAAGTACAATATTTTTTACTTTTTCTTTCATCAATTTCATAAATAATTTTTTTTTCTGATACTACCTCCATAGAAGATCCTCCGCAATTTCCCCCTATCTACTTTTTCATCAAAATCTTAATGTCTTTTTCCCTCTCTCTCTTCACTTCCAGCGAATTTAGTTTTGTGCGTGAACATCGTCGCCTGCCACGCGCCGTTACAGCCAAAAAGGAACGTGTCTGGGACTATGGTGTGATACCCTATGAAATCGATGGCAACTTTAGTGGTCTGCACAAGGCTCTGTTCAAGCAGGCCATGCGTCACTGGGAGAACTCGACATGCATTAAGTTTGTGGAACGGGAGCCGGAATTGCATCCAAACTATATTGTTTTTACCATACGAGGATGTGGGTAAGTGTTGTTGCTGTTGTGGTTATTGTTGTTGCTGTTGAGGTTACAAAATCATTGACAACATTGGCAGCGGGGCAAGTCAAAGTGGTGTTGCTGCGCCGGCCACTGTTATTGTTATCAAGTTTACGCTCCATTTAAATGGGCAGCCATTCAATAATCATTATTATTTTCAAATTTATTTCTTCGCTTAACACTTCGCACTCTCTCTCTCCCTCCCCCTCTCCCTGCCTTAGCTGCTGCTCCTTTGTTGGCAAACGTGGCAATGGACCACAGGCCATTTCCATTGGCCGCAACTGTGATAAATTTGGCATTGTTGTCCACGAACTCGGCCATGTTGTGGGCTTTTGGCATGAACACACCCGACCGGATCGCGAGAAACATGTTATCATCGAACACAACAACATCATGAAGGGTCAGGACTACAATTTCAATAAATTAACACCGGACGAAGTGGACTCCTTGGGCATGGCCTATGACTACGACTCGATTATGCACTACGCCCGCAATACCTTCTCCAAGGGGACGTATTTGGACACCATTTTGCCCATAGAGGTGAAGGGACGCAAGCGGCCGGAAATTGGTCAGCGTTTGCGTCTGAGTGTGGGCGACATTGCCCAGGCCAATTTGCTGTATAAATGTCCGAAATGCGGTCGGACATTTCAAGATAACACTGGCATCTTTGCCAGTCCCTCGTATCATACGGCCGGGGCGCTGACCAACGAGACGGAACATTGTGAGTGGCGCATAACGGCCACACATGGCGAGCGAGTGGTTTTGAAATTGGAGAATTTGGTATGTGTTTTGGTTTTCATTTTAGAGAGTAGTTTTTGGCAGTATATTATGCTCGTAAGGACACACACACACACATAGGCAGCCACATGCATGCATTCATTCACTCACTTCGACTCAATTGCATTGCAGTTATTTGAAGCACAACACTGTCGAAGTGCGTTAATGTGAAATGCATTTCCGCTTGTGTGAATTCAAGTGTGAGCGAGCCAGCGAGAGTGTGTGTGTGTGTGTGCTCCAGTGTCCTTTGGATTAGAGCTCAATGACTGTAACATTTGATGCAAAATCGTATTAGTATTAATGCCGTGTGTTGTCTGTGTGTAAAAACTTCTGATTGTATTTTTTTGTTGTTGTATTTTTCCTGGCACCCATAGAATATTTTCAAATCGGAAAATTGCCAATCGGATTATTTGGAAATTCGAGATGGTTACTGGCATCAATCACCTTTAATAGCTCGTTTTTGTGGCAAAGTCAGTAGTGAAATATTAAAAACGGTTTCCAGCCGCATGTTGCTGACCTATGTCAACACGCATCGAGCCGAGGGCTATCGCGGATTTAAGGCCGAATTTGATGGTAAGTGGTAAAGTTAAATTAGTTTTGGCGGGTGTGTGTCTGTGTGTGAATGTCGGTTTGGCAATTTGCATTACATGGCGGGAATTTGTAGGTAATTAGAATACAAAGGAGGTGATTTTGTAAATAAAATTCAAAACTAATGGTATTTTATATTGTTTAGTTGAAAATCGATGAATATATATGGCTTCACTTTTTATGTAATTTTTATGCCTTTATCGTGGAATATGAGAAAACGAGAATGTACGAATTTTGTATTAAATTCTGCTTGACAGTATAATGATATAGGGAAACATAGAAATCTGATGATGGGAAAATTTAAATCTGAATGCAGTTCAAATTCCTTCAAAAAATAGATTTACCCAGCTCAACGTTTTTAGACCTTATGCAAGCTTTAAGAAAATCGTCGAACATTTGGAGCCGATCTAGTAGTCTGCTAGTTTGTAGGCAGCATGTCTAGGTCACATTCGATTTCATTTCAAGGGTTGCTAATTCTTTAAATTTTTAAGAAATGTGGCCATTGTGAAAACTTAGACCTAGGTATGAAAAAAACATGGGTCTTATGTTAAGAGGGAGAAGTATCCTTATTGCTCCATATTTTATACATACAAATATTTCCATTATATGCAGATAAGGATTTCTTTTTTTCGGTGCTCTCCTGTTGTACGTCTTTCATATTTGGAAAAGGGATGGATATCATACATTGCGAGTTAAACCCCCAACCGATTTTCAGAAATTCGTATTAGAAAATTACGTAAAGTGTTTAATAATTTAATACTTTATATTAGACAAACGGAATGAGCTTCAATTCTAAAATTTGAATTGATCACCACAGAAGGAGTACAGAATAGATATACAAAAGGGGTTTTGAAAATTCGAACTTGAAGGTTAAGAAAAGGTTCTAAAATAGGTTCTAAAATAGTACCATTTTGTATTTTGTGAACGGATAGAAGTAAAAACTTGGTATGGGTAGCAAGGTTGGAAAGTAAGTTTATAGAGGTGGTTTGGAAATGTGTAGTACAAGGGCACGAAAAGTACTATATTGGGCACAATTAGGTACTGGGTGAATAGATAGTGCCTGAAATCTGAAATTTGGTATTAGGGTTGCCTAGACTTATGAAGGTGGTTCCCGAAATGTGTACTATAATTGTAAAAAAGTACTAAATTGTATTATTCTGAAATTTCATATTTAGATTGCTGGTGTTTCCGTGTTTGATATTTGTAGGTGGTTTGAAAATCCGTTCTATATTTGTACGAAAAGTACTAAATGATACTCAAATTTAATATTGAGGTCTCTGTTGGTATCTGAAATTTATTTTTGACGGTTGTTTGGAATTACATCCTATATTTGAATAGTATTAAATAATACTAAATTTGGAACATGGCGAAGGAAGGGAACTGAAATCCTGACATTTTTTATAGATGTCACTATTGGTGTCGATGGCTAAGTTATGGAGGTGGATTTGAAATTTTGTACTATAATTGTACTAATTGGTACCAAATTAGATACTGGGTGAAGGGATAGATCTGGAATTCAGAAAATTGATGTTGAGGTCTTAGAATAGTACTAAATAGTGTTAAATTTGGTTTGGGTAATGGATTAGAGATAGAATCACTAAATTTGATTTTAAGGTCACGGATGATATAAGAAGTTTGAATATGGTATTAATTTTAAATAACTGTTGGTGTCCAGGATGGATACGCGTACTAAATGTTACTACATTGGTATTGAGTGATGGGATAGAGATATAAATTTGATATTGAGGTCTCTGTTGGTTTCCAGGGTTTCGATATGGAGACGTTAAAATAGTTTCGGAAAAAAATTGGATGTGGTTCCACTGTTCAATAGTGTTATTAATAGCCTCCTCGTTAAACTTTTTGGTGTAAAAGGTAAATATTTTCCGATTATTCTTTCCGCATGAGGAAATGCTTGAATAAAATATAAGACACTGATATTCTGATTTTTTTTTTCGAATTTTTGAAATAATCGAAGGAATAGATAACATTTTTGTGGACATTTTAAAAATATTATCCATAGATCCACATTTAAAAAACATATTTGGAATTTTTTTTGGGAAAATATTTGGAAATATTTTTTATACAAATATCCAAAAATGGGTCCACGTTTTGAAAAATATTCGGATGTAGAGACGTAAATTTGACATAGAGTGCCGGAAAAAGGCTGTAATTTCGCATTTTGGTATTAGAATAACAGTGAGCAGCCGGAGTTTAGAGAAGGAGATGTATTTGTACGCGTACGAAAGTACTAAATGGTACTAAGTTTTATATGGAGTGTAGGAATAGAGGCTGAATTATGAGTTTTGATATGCGGGCTTATGTGGATCTGTAGGATGTAGGCAAGACAGTGTTTTTTGAAGTGGAGATGAAAAACTTTAGTAAGACATTTTTTTGAAAGACCTATATTGATGCACTTCCAAGGTGAAAAAATAAACTAAATTTGCAAGAGAAAAACTACCTTGTTTGGGCAAAAACTTTCCTAATCCTATTAATTCTGGCAAACGTAGATAAAGTTCGAAAAAGGAATTCATTATTCAACCCCTTCTCTAAAAATTGTTTAAATATTGCTGTGGCCAATTCAAATATTAACAGAAATTATTTCCAACTTTGTAAAATATTCCAAACAAAGTAAGTTCAAAATTAGGTCTAAACCATTTTTTTATATCACACTAGTTTTACTAAAGATTTATCAGGTTGAAAAATGTCGCTTCCGTCCAAAAATTATAAATTTTACAAAAATTGAAGATCGTATATATATATATTTGGAATACCAAGATCGATTCAATATCTCATGTAAACCGCTAGGAGTCACCGATTTGACTCCAAGGTTGGATAACACTTATGTTAATCGCCATAATTTCACCGATTTTTTTTATCTAAGCCCATTTTGTCATCTGATAAAGACTTATTTTCTAAGTCTCGTTGACAAATCTTTCGTTAATTTCAATTTCTTAAAAAAAATATTTTTTATTCCCCTCAGTCGTCTGTGGCGGTGAGCTGAACATCGATGACAATGAAGGACGTTTGGAGTCGCCCAACTACCCCCTGGAATATTTACCCAACAAGGAATGCATTTGGAAAATTACGGTACCCAAAGGCTATCAAGTGGCCTTGAAATTCCAATCATTCGAAGTGGAAAATCATGACAGCTGTGTCTATGACTTTGTTGAAGTAAGGGATGGACCGACACAGGAATCTCCTCTAATTGGGGTGTTCTGTGGCTATAAACCACCACCAAATATGAAGTAGGTCCATTGCACACTTTTTTCAACCTTCATATTTTATTAATACACACTTCTTTTCAGATCCACCGGCGACACCATGTTTGTGAAATTCGTTTCCGACACCTCGGTCCAGAAGCCCGGTTTCTCGGCCACCTTCATGAAAGAGGTGGACGAGTGTGAGACACAAAATCATGGCTGCGAGCATGAATGCATTAACACGCTCGGTGGCTATGAGTGTGCCTGTCACATTGGCTATGAGCTGCACAGCGACAAGAAGCATTGCGAAGATGCATGTGGTGGTGTCATTGAATACCCGAACGGCACCATCACCTCACCCTCATTTCCCGACAAATATCCCTTCTTGAAGGATTGCATCTGGGAGATTATTGCACCACCCAAACATAAAATCTCTTTGAATTTCACCCATTTCGATTTGGAGGGAGCCACCCATCATCAGTCCGAGTGTGGCTATGACAAGGTGACCATTTATTCTAAACTCAGTGAGAATAAATTGAAAAAGATTGGCACCTATTGTGGCAGCTCAATACCGCCCACGGCCACCTCGGAGGGTAATGCGTTGCGTGTCGAATTCCATTCGGACAAATCAATACAAAAGTCGGGATTTGCGGCGGTCTTCTTCACCGACATCGATGAGTGTTCGATTAACAATGGCGGGTGTCAGCACGAGTGTCGCAACACCATCGGTTCGTATGTGTGTTCGTGTCACAATGGCTATTCGCTGCACGAGAATGGTCATGACTGCAAGGAGGGCGAATGTAAACATGAGATTTCGGCACCATTTGGCACAATCTACAGTCCCAACTATCCGGATTTGTATCCACCCAATGCCGATTGTGTGTGGCATTTTTCGACAACGCCAGGGCATCGCATTAAATTGATATTCAATGAATTCAAAGTGGAATCGCATCAGGTAAGTGGGGGGAGGGGGGAGATGTTGATTTTCGAAGCTGACAATAATGAATGAATATTCGAACCAAATTATAGGAATGTGCCTATGACAATGTGGCAATTTATGATGGCGATTCGGAGAGCAGTTCCCTGCTGGGTCGTTTCTGTGGCGAGAAAATACCCTACCCCATTTCCTCGTCCACAAATCAGCTATATATGGTACTTAAAACGGATAAGAATAAACAGCATAGTGGTTTCACGGCGGTCCATTCAACATGTGAGTATTTGCGAGAGGAGAGAGAGAGAGGTGGGAGAGAGTGAGGGATGATAATAATATATTATTGTTTGTTTTACCTTTGCTTAGCTTGTGGCGGTTATTTACGTGCCACAAATCAAATCCAACAATTCTACTCCCATTCGAGATTTGGCAATTTGAACTACGAGACCAACATGGACTGCGAATGGACAATCCAGGCACCGCCCAATAGCTATGTTAATTTGATATTTTTGACATTCGATCTGGAGAGCAGCGAGAATTGTACCTATGACTATGTCCAGGTGTTTTCGGGCATGGAAGATACCAGCGGACCAATGTATGGACAATATTGTGGCAATACGGTAAGTTTGGTTATATCATTTAATATACCAAAAAGGGTACGAAAAGTACTAAAATGTACGAAAAAATTGCGTAATTTGTATTGGGCAAAGGGAATGGGTTAGAATTCTGGAATTTGGAATGGGAGTCACTGATGGAGTGTAGTATACTTGTACCAAAAGGATTTTGGAAAATCTAACTTTAAGGTTACGAAAGGTTCGAAAATGGTACGAAACTTCTAAAATTGTACCATTTGGTATTATGTGAACGGATGGAGCTAAAAACTTGAAATTTGGTATCAACATTTGGAATTTTGAAAATCTGTCTCGGGGTTATAGATTATTTATAAAGAGTTGGTTCTGGGGATGTGTGCTATAATTGAACGATACTATAATAAATAGTACCATATTTTGTACAATTACATTTCGAGTGAACAGATATTGTGTGAATGTGTACTACAGTTGTATGAAAAGTACAAAATGGTACTAAACTTGGTATTGAGTGAAGGGATAGGCCTAGAATCCTCAAATTTGGTATTGAGATCTGTTGGTATCTAACATTAAGATATGGAGATGGTTTTGGAAATGTGTACTATAATTGTACGAAAATTACTAAATAGTACCATATTTGGTACAATTTGGTATTGGGAAAACAGATAGTGCTTGAAATCTGAAATTTAATATTACGATCGCTGTTTATATGTAGTGTGGTCATATAGTGATTTTTTTGAAAATGTGTACTGTAATTGTACTAAAAAGTACTAAATAGTAGAAAATCGGGTATTGGGTAAACGAATAGAGCCAAAATCCAAAAATTTTATATAGATTTCGCTGTTGGTGTGTGATGTTGAGATTTGGAGGTGAGTTTGGAAATGTGTACTACAATTGTACGAAAAGTGCTAGACGGTATTAAATTTGGTACAATTCGGTACTGGCTGAACCGTTTGTGCTTTAAATGTGAAATTTGGCATTTGGGTCGTTGTTCAAATGAAGCCTGGATAAATAGAGGTAGTTTCGGAAATGAGTACCACAATTGTACAAAAAGTACAAAATGGTACTAAATGTGGTATTGAGTAAATGGATAGAGGTAAAATTCTGAATTTTGATATTTAGATAACTGATGGTATCTGTGTCTGAGATTTGGCAGTGGTTTGGAAATGTGTAATAAAATTGTTCGAATGGTACTGAATTTGTATTGGGTGAAGGGACAAGGCTGGTATCCTCAATTTTTTTATTGAGGTCTCTGTTGATATCAGGAATTGAGATATGGAGATGGTTTTGAAAGGGTTACTAAATAGTAATACATGTACTAAAAAGTACCATATTTGGTACAATTTGGTATTGGCAAAACAGATAGTGCTTGAAATCTGCAATTTAATATTAGGATCGCTGTTTGTGTGTAGCCTGGTCGTATGGTGAATTTTTTGAAAATGTGTACTATAATTGTACGAAAAGTATTATATGGTACTAAATTTTATGAGGGGTGAGGAATAGAGAGATAAATTTCTGAAATTTAATATTTAGATTACTGATAGTATCTGTTTCTGAAATACAGCGGTGGCTTGAAAATATGTCCCATATTTGTACGAAAAGTACTAAATGGTACTAAATTCGGTATTAGATGAAGGAAAAGAGTTGGAATCTCTAAATTTGATATTTAGGTCTCTCTGTTGGTGTCTGGAATTAAAATATGGAGGTGGTTTTGGGATAGTGTACTATCATTGTACGAAAAGTACTAAGTGGTACTAAATTTGGTATTGGGTGAAAGAATAGAGCTAAAATCCTAAAATTACATATTGAAGTCTCTGTTGGTATCTGGGACTGATGTTTGAAGATGGGTTCTGCAAATGTGTACTATAATTGTACGAAAAGTACTAAGTTTGGTATTGGATGAAAGGATAGGGCTGGAATCCACAAATTTGATATTAAGGTATCTTTTGGTATCTGGAATTGAAATATGGAGATTTTTTAAATGTGTACCATAATTTTACGAAAAGTACTCAATAGTACCAAATTTAGTATGGGGTAAAAGAAAGAAAACAATATCAACTTTGAGGATTTCAGACACATTAGTATCTGGAATTGAGGTATGGAGGTGAGTACTATTATTGTACGAAAAGTACCAAATGGTACTAAATTTTGGTATTGGTGAAGAAATAGAGCAGGAGCCCAGAAATTTGATGTTGAGGTCTCTGTTAGTGTCTGGTGTTGCGATTTAGAGGTGGGTTTGGAAATATTTACTGCAATTGTACGGAATGTACTAAATAGTACTAAATTTCCTATTGGGTGCAGATATGCAGCTGAAATCCTGAAATATGATATTACAGTCTCTGTAGGTATCTGGAATGATATGGAGGTGATTTTGGAAACATGTACTATAATTGATGGAAAAGTACTAAATGGTACTAAATTTGATATTGGAAGAAAGGGATAGGGCTGGAATCCTCAAATTTGATATTGAGGTCTCTGTTGGTATGGAGGCGGTTTTGGAAATGTGTACTGTAAATGTACGAAAAGTACTGAAAGGTACATTTTTGTACACTGTTCGGATGTGTCTGGGATGGAGATATTTAGATTGGTTTGGATATGCGTACTAAATGTTACTAAATTTGGTACTGGGTAAAGGGATAGAGCTGAAATTCTGAAATTTAATGTTGGGGTCATTTTTGGTTCTAGAATTTACATGTGTAGACGTTGAAATAGTTTCGGACCGGAAAATTGAAGGTGGATACATTGTATATTGGTTTTACTCGACAAACTTCGAAATGAAAGATTTTGAAGAATTTTTATGTAACATTTAAACATTTAGAGAACGGGTAAATATTACCCTTTCCGACCAAATTAAAAGTGGAAGATGTTTTGAATACAAAATATCTACAATATTTTTTTAAGAATATTTATCATTAATAAATTTCTTTGTTCCCTTCCATTTCCAGATACCTCAAGACATTATATCGCTAACCGATTCTCTGTTGGTACGTTTCAAAACCGACAGCAGTGTTGATTACAAAGGTTTCTCCGCCTCCTATGTGGCTGTAAATCCCTTCGACAATAGCGAGGAAGACGAGGAAGAAGGCAACTCATACAGTGCCGAAATCGCCACCGCCTTTCCGGGTGCGCTGAGACCCATCTACAAAGAGGACATCAGCAAGGAGACAGACGACTACAATGAATTCAATGAAAATCAACTGCTCATCAATAATCAATACTACGGACGCAATCGATATCAAAATAGATATTAAAAAGCAAAAACAAAACATGATTCGTATCCAATGGAGGATACAACCTTAGCCATATAACATCGTAAATGTAATTTTAAGTAAGAAAAAATATTGCTCTGTTCCAGAAACTGCAAGAATATTGGATACGATTTTGCAATATTTTCGATATAAGAAAGTAAAAATTGGTTATCGTAGGAAGAAAAAATTACATCGTTACAGTTCTGGAGCAGAGCATATTTTTAAAAAATTAAAAAAAACAAAACAAAAACACACACTTTGACAATATATAAATGACTTTCATTGAGATTGTTTATCATGCATTTTTTAACGAATACCAAAAACTAATTTAGATCATAAATGAAAAAAGAAAAAAAACAACAACAAAACAAAAAAGAGACAATTTAAACATATTAATTTACATACTCTTACATATAAAGTACATACATATTTTAACATTAAGCATATCATCTTAGTAGAAGAGGAAACCCTGGACCGATGACCACTACAGACCGACACAACTTTTCGACCTTAGAGTTCGTTTTTTGGGCTAAATGTTATTAGACATTAAGAGAGAATGGAAAACAAAAACTTTGAACTGATAAACAATAAAAGTTTAAAAGCGATCTGTTTCTTATACATGTGTACGTACATTTACATATACACTAAATAATACATACATATACCCTGAAAGAGACATTATGAATAAAAACAAACTATACAATAAGATTTTTAATATTTTTTAGTTTATAATTATAATACGATTTACTTAAAACCAAAAAACAAATAAATTTCTTTATTTACAAAATTTTATTCTGATTTGACTATTTTTTTTTTTTAATAAAGCGCTTTCATTATTTTTTTGTGTTATACATTCTTTTTCTAGTTAATCAGACAAAAAAAACGAAGTTTATGGATAAAAAGATATATTCAAGAGGGAAATTTCCTGTTGTCAGAGTCTAGGCCAGAATGTATTATTCCTACAATGTTATTCAAATATATGCATCTTTCTGTTAAAACCATTACTGTACCCTTCATTTTTGGAAATCTTCGAAGTACTCGTAGAAAAACCATAAAAGCACGGTACCGCCCACGTTATGTAATTTTGAAGACGTTTACTGCGTTCTTCAACCGAATTACTGGAATTTGCAGTTTGAAAAAAAAAATATATATTGAATTCGGATATTTTAGTTATAAATTGGTTGAAGGGTATTAAAAAATTCGTTCCCTATTGAAAATTGTCAGCCAATTCTTAAAAAAACAGTAAGGAAAGGCCCAAAGTCAGGCGGGGCTGACTTTATGATACCCTACATCAATTTGTAGATTTAGTAGAGCTACCCATAACAACCCATAAATATAATTTAGAGCCGAAAGAACTATTATATGGTAGAATATCCTGCTCTTAACCGATTTCCACAAAATATGACGGACTAAACCCATATACATGAAAATCTTCCTTATGTGAGCTGATATTACAATTTGTAGACACAATAAGCGTAAAATTAGATGAAGATATTATGGAAGCTATATCCAAATCTGAAGCGATCTCTATAAAAATAGCAGAGGTATTTCTATGTTGAATCTATCTGATAGCTGGGGCCAAAGATCGTTGTTGTGGAAAGAATTTTACAGGTGTGAGTTACTTTAGTACAAAATCGGATGAAACATATATTTGGGAGCTGTAGCTACATCTAAACCGATGTTTACCAAATTTTATCATTCGTCCAGGCTAAATTCGTTCGTCCGTGACAAAATACATTCAATTCCGACGTATATTAACAATCTGGTCTGCAATAAACTTGAAATCGAATACGGACATATATGGGAGCTATATCCAAATCTGAACCGATCTCTATTACAATTAGCATTACATTGAGGTATTTGTGGAAATGATTTTACAGGTATGAGGGACTTTAGTACAAAATCGGATAAAGCATATTCACGGGACCTTTGGCTACATCTGAACCGATTTGTATCAAATTTGATACATTTTCTTCCAGGCTGAATTCGTTCGTCCGTGACAAAATCCATTCAATTCGGACATATATTTGCAATAAACTTGAAATCGAGTAAAGATACATATGGTAGCTATATCCAAATATGACTCGAAGTCGATAAAATTTGACAAAGGTATTTCTGAGCTATATTTGATACATTTCCCCGAATATCATTGTTACGGAGTGCATATTACGGCTGTGAAGGACAAAAATAACAAATCGGATGAACAATATATATGGGAGCTATAGCTATACCTGGACCGATTTTCACTAAATTGTACATACTTGCTTCTAGGCTCAATTGGGTGGTATGTGCTAAATTCCATCCGATTTGGTCAATTATTACACATTGGGTGCAAAATAAAGGGCAAATTGGACGAAGATATATATTTGAGCTATATTCAAATTTCGACCGATTATCTCCAATTTCAATAGGGTTCGTCCTTGGGCCAAACATTCGGACAATAAATACGACCTGTACTTTATTTACTAGGGTATCGAAATTAATTGATCTTTTCACACCGGAACTTGCGTTAGTAAAAATATTGCGATACATAAAATTTGAAGAGATATGAATGCTTATTTCGCATTTTATGAGAGGTATAATTATTCAAAATTTCGACCAATTTTGGGAGAGGTACCCGAAGGAGTCGTCTGACATATTCCATCTTCCTACCTGGTTTTGTGGTCATAGAAATATTGGGATATGTGAAATTTCAAAAGAATATGATGTTTATTTCCCATTTTACGAGAGCTTTATCTATTCGCAACTTTGACCCGTTTTGGGGAGGTAGCAGAAGAAGTGGACCTAGCACTGACATAAATATTAAAAATTGCAAAGTTTACAAACAATCGTAAATTTTTCTCTGTCTATGTTGCCCATCTCTGGACTCGATGTGATTTTGACAATAATATCCAAGTACCAAGTTTGGACCAAATCGGATACTCCCTTCGAGAGTTATTGTTCGCACCAGCCAGCCAGACAGACAAACAAACGGGCGGATGTACAGACGTAATCACACCCCTTGATCGACTCAATATGATGGATTTGGTCCAAAGATACGTAGGGTCTACAACCGTTATTTCGATAAGGCATTTTCTTGGACGTATCAAATGATATTTACCCTCTATAACCATATGGCTGTCGGTATAAAAAGGAATGGAGCGATATTTTCAATCCGATATTAAAATCGTGACCAAATCATATACTCCTCTTGATATTTATTGTGCCCACAAACAGACAGACGGACTGGCATGGCAAGATCGACTACAGATATCCAAAATATAAAGGTAGTCGGCCGTTACTACAAGTTTTGCCGGAACTATGTTTAATTTAATTATTACTACGTGTGATGTTCGAATTATATATCCGATACTTTGGGAATCAAGTGAGGAGGTTCCAGGTATAAAAAGGTATTCCTCCTATGCCCGTTAATTTTATTTCCACAAAAAAAAAGGTTTTTTTGGTAACCCCAAATTCCAGTGAGAGTGAGAGCGAGTGAAGAGAACAATTTTGACACTTGAGTTGCTGAGAGTTAGCAAATTGTTGCTGGGAAATTTTATAACTCCTCGAAACACTAATGTTCGATCCAACAAAAAATAAAATCAAAGTCGATTTAGCGATGTCCGTCTGTTTTAATCACTCTATTTGCGGAATGTGTATTTTGCCAGTAGGTAGGTTCGTCAAGGACCCATGTCGGTTCACTTTTTCGTATAGCCACCATATAACGATGCCGCCAGCCATTCGGTATTTTTATATTATTAGCGACATTATTCACTGGAATTGTTTCTTATTTTGTATGTGAATTCGGAATAGCTACTACTGCCTAGGACAAAAAATTACTTATAGCCGGAATAGAACGGGTTTCATTTGAGCCGTATTTTTCGACTGATTTTTTTGAAAATTCCTCCTGAGGGTATTAAAAGTTCGATCCGGCCGAACATAGCTTTTTTACATTTTATTCGCTATGACAAACAAAAATTCTTCTCTGAAAATAATTTCTATTTGTAATGAAAAACAATCGCAATTCGTGGCGTTTTGATAAGATTTAAAGTTTTAACATATTCTGAGAACTATAGCAGAATTTTATGACATAAAGTTTAAAGCATTTCGTTTAAAATGTATTTTAACAAAAACATAAAAAAGGACCAAACATAGTTCTTTGGTGACTCGCTGGAGGATTATGATATTCGATCAATATTATTACCTTAACTCCTGTACTCCTCGATGTTTAGGTTATCAATGGATTTGAAATAAAAACAAATTAGGGCCGATACCATGCAATTCTCGAATATTTCCGATACTATTCTCTCAGATCTTTTTTTTTCATATGCCCACTCAACCCAAGTTCAATTTGGTATAATCGCAATTTGTTATATTAAATAGTTTTTTTCCCTTAAATTTCATTAATAAAATATTTAAATAACCAATTTGTTATTATAGTTCAAAAAGTTTAGATGAAATAAAATCATATTCAAAAAGACAAATTCATATTTATATCTAAATCGAAGAGTTCAATAACAAAACCGACAAAAATAAATATACCTAAATACATACATATATCATGGATCAACTTCAAATAAAACATACAAACATACATAGAAACGTATACATACACATCACATACATTGCAATGGAAAACAATAATTAGATTCTAAGAAATACATACGTACATAATACATTCGAATATACTCAATGCAATTTATTATTAGACAAACATATATTTAAAGAAAAATATAACTTTATTTCGAATACTTCAAATTAGAATTTATTTTTCTCCCTTTTGAAGTAACAAAACTAATTGAAACGAAAGAGGAAGAGGGGAAGAAAAACGAAGAAAACGATTTTGCATTTAGAACAATTAAATAAATGTATGAAATTCCAATCAAATCTCTTAATAATGAAATGTTATGTAATAAATACTAAAAACAAAAAAAATGAAATTAGATCAAAACTTTCAAATAGCCGAAACGAGACAAAAAAGTAATCGAAATATTTATACCACTTTTATCCACTTTTTTTTAGGTGATCAACGGTAAAAAAATATTAGTTTTGACCTAAATAAAAATAAATATAAACTGATGATGAATAATACTATTATCAGCCATAGAACTCCTATTGAAATTAGAAACAATTTTTCCAATTTAAGAAAAAGAAGAAAACAATAAAAAAAATTCCACTACATCTAAAGAAACTCTATCCGAAATATTTTATTATTTTTTTATGATTCTGGCATGCAAAGCGGTAAGTACAAATGGGTTTAAGATGTCTCTTTAGATATGTAGATCGTACTATTTACATCAAATATGTATAAATCATACTAGCAAGTATCCTCCACTTCGTCAGCGAAAAGTCCACATTAAAATTCAAATTAGTTTCAAGAGTTCGTGTCGGACCTTTTTAGTACTCAAAAAAAATTTTTCATCGTAGTAAATTTTCAGACTTTCATGGTTTTCTATATTATTTAGGATTTTTTCCTTTTTTATACCCTCCACCATAGTATGGAGGGTATATTAAGTTTGTCATTCCGTTTGTAACACCTCGAAATATACATTTTAGACCCGACAAAGTATATATTCTTGATCAGCATAAAATTCTATGTCGATTTAACAATATCCGACCGTCTGTCCGTCTGTGGAAATCAAACTAGCTTCCGAACGAATTGAAGTAGATTGATAAAATTTTACTCAAATGTATATTTTGTCTGCAGGACTTTTGGTATTGGAAATGGGCCATGTAGGTCTACGTCTTCGTATAGCCCCCATATAACGGCACCTCCCGATATTCGGTATTTTGATGACTTTAGCGACATTATACACCAGAATGGTTTCAAATTTAGTATTTAAAGTTCGAAATAGATACTACAGCCTAAGACAGAAAATGAGCCATGTAGGTCCACGTCTTCGTATAGCCCCCATACAACGGTACGTCCCTATATTCGATATTTTAGTGATTTTAGCGTCATTATTCAACGAAATTGTTTCAAATTACGCATTTACAGTTCGTAATGGAAACCACAGTCTGTGACCGAAAATTGTATATGCTGGTCCAGGCCTTCGCCTCCGATATAACGGTACCTCCCTATATATGATATTTTGATGATTTTTGCTACATTATTCACCGTTTATTTCAAATTCCGAATTTGAATTTGATAATGACTTATGCCAAACAATGCCTATGTAGGTCCACGTCGTATAGACACCAATATAACGGATATATTCGGCATTTTTAAAATTTTAACAGAATTTGTTAGGGATTTTATATCCAAATTCGTTCCAAATGGTGGAGGGTATTCAAAGTTCGGCCCGTCCGAACTTACTGTTTTTTAACTTGTTTTTGGCTAAATTGATTGCATAAGGTATCTCTATAGATATGGAGATTGTATTATTTACGTCAAATTACCAATATCCATTCCCTGTGATATATTCCACAGTACACTAAGGAGCTAGAAGAGCTTCGTAAAAATACTGAAACACAGCCCTGAAGCTATATCCTCTTCCTGTCGGAATTACAGGGAGAGATGAAAAAAACTGTAACCAACTTCAGACTGCTGTCATTTATAAGCCACTCGTCCGACGGCTGTTAAAGCAGCAGTTTGTAAAAAAAGAAAATGATCGTATTTACTTTCCAAAGAAGACAGCTGAAAATGTGCACCTTCGGTTGGCCACCAGAACTCAAGCGCCAGATATGGTGATGGTGTGGGCCGCCATAACAGCCGATGGTCGCTCTCCTCTCGTATTAATCGACCGTGGCATCAGAATAAATGCCGAATATTATCGCAAAAATATTCTGGAGGGTGTATTAAAGCCTTGGGTATGCAAACATTTTGGCCGCAGACCTTGGACATTCCAACAGGACTCAGTACCATCGCACTCAACATGCGCCACCCAAGAATGGTTACAAAATGAGGTTCCTCGCTTCATTTCCAGCGCAAAATGGCCACCAAAATCTCCGGATACCAATCCGTTGGACTATTGTGTCTGGAGTATTTTGGAAAGTAAGGTTGGCACTAAGAAATACCAAAATGTCGATCACCTCAAGCAAGCGCTTCGCCGGGAATTGGCCAAAATACCGCAGAGCAACATTCGGGCAGCGTGTGATGGTTTCATTGGCCGTTTGAAGGCCATAATTCGTGCCAAAGGTGACCAATTCGAAGAAATCCAAACTCGTTCTAATATTTTATGCTATTTCCGACATTTTTACTTTCATTCAATAAAATTGAAAAAAAAATTTAAAAATTATGACATTTGACATTTGTGTTGGTAATCTTTTAATATATACCAACAATCCATATCCGAAAACGATTTCACTTTGTATTTGTTGTTTATTTTTTATGAGAAGAATCTCAAAGTTATCGGAAAGGGAGAACCATAAGAGCAAACATTTTGAAGAACATTTTGATTCATATTCTTCTATTCAAGAAATGAATTATCTTTCGTTATAATATAGAAATAAATATATAATATAGAAATAATTGATGTAAAAAATAGCCTACACAATCTGTCCCTCAGGACCCTTATTCTATTTGCTGAGTTGCCGTTTTTTTAAACATTTCAAGGCCATCAATTAGGGTCTGCTAATTCCTTCAATGAAAATAAATATGACTGATAGCGGTACCGTTTGGACCCGTAACGGCTATGGATAATTCCCCATCATCTCCAAAGGAAATTTCGAACCAATGCCATATTTTTCCAGGTTAATAATTTGCTCATAAAAATTATATACATTTCACTCTGAATAATCTCTCTTGCTTATTTTGTTATTTCATCTTGGGAAGAGTTTTTCTTTAATCACCGTTACAAAAATGTCTTTTTCACCAATGGCACAGCCTCAAATTAAAATACGCAATAGATTTTAGGTCATTAAACTAATATCTTACCGCTCCTCCAATTAAGAAACATTTAAAACAAAATCTCACTGTTCTCTTTTTCTCCTTAATGAGGCCATACAACAAATTGCTGAGCTATAGTCCTGCACTCATTAAAAGTCAATCACTGGCGTTATTATTAACCCACTCTATTTTCAATTAACCGTAACACTCATTAAAACCACACACGCACACACACCAACACCAACGATTCTTAACAAGTGTCATTTGTCCATTCCAATTAGATTTTTTATTGAAGGTGTCACTTAACGACGGTGACAGCGTTGGAGGGAGGACAAGTCATAACATTACAACATCCTGTTAAATGGTAAATTAATTATATTTTATTGCCACCACCAATGACGGCGAGTTGAGAATCACCTCAATCCGAATGTGATCATCACGAACCCTCTCTCTCTCGACGGCACTCACTTAGCGACACCCAACAGCCATCAATCCGAACCACTTGCCTGTGGACGTCGTTTAAAGTGCCTCTAAAGCCCTAATTAGCCAAAGAATTATGGTTAACGAGCCTATAAGATACGAAGCGATACGGGACGATGATGCTGATGGGCAGTCAGCCAGCCAGCCACGCACCATCCATCCACAAGTCTGGCTGGCGGCGACCCTCACACTCTCTCATTCTCTTATCATCTACCTGTTGTTCTTGGCTCTTTTGGCTACCTGTTGTTGCGGATGCTGCGTTTGGGCGTCTGGCTTAGCTCTGATCGTGGCATGCAACGGCGACGGCGCCGTCGCCACAAACAGAACTTCTCCCACACATTTGTGTCTGCGGAACAAATCACCATACAGCCAAACAGAACTACGAGTAGTCTGTGTTTTGATCATTCTAAGAGATGGGATGTTTTCGTTCGTTTGTTAATGTGTATTTCTTTGAACGAGCCTCTTTTTTTGGAGTTGTGGTTTAGCTGTTGTTGTTATTGGCGAATGTTTGCTCCTCCATGGTGGTGCCATGCCATACCCTACCCTGACTGAAGGCACGTGTTAGTTCGATTGCTCCAAGATAGGATATGTATGTTGAGGTAAAGAAGAGAAAAAACAAAATAACGAACGTAATAACTTATGATCGCATTGAAAGACAACAACATATCCTCCAGAGTTATTGTGGTACACTGAGAAGGATCTATTGGAGGTTTTTTTTAAACTTCTAAGGGGGTTGGATATAAATATTACATTGGAAGGATTCAAGGAAAGGTGATAGTATTGGGTTAGTAGAGAAACCTAGGAAAATATTATTACGTTATCAGGACAATTATTGTTATGGCCCTTACTTATAGAATCTTAGTCAAAGAGAGGTGATTTTGTCGAAATATGTATTCTCTCAGCCTAGCAAGTGCCCGCTACTTCGTCCCCGAAAAGAAAACTTTAAAATTTTATATTCGATCTGACAGTTCTTGTTAGTACTCAAAATGAACAAGTAAAAAAGCTCTAAATTCGGCCGGGCCGAACTTTGAATACCCTCCACCATTTGGGAAGAATTTGATAATTCTCGAAAACAATAAAATCCGTTAAAACTTCTGTAAAAATCTTAAAATTCAATTCGTTCGGAAGCTAGAGTGATTTCCACAGACGGACAGACGGATAGAAGGACGGACATCGCTAAATCGACATAGAATTTTATGCTGATCAAAAATATATATACTTTGTGGGGTCTAAAATGTATATTTCGAGGTGTTACAAACGGAATGACAAACTTAATATACCCTCCATACTATGGTGGAGGGTATAAAAATATGTTCAATTTGACAAACGTTTTTAGTCAAAATTTCAGACATCGTACTAAATTTTTAGGCTGTTAAGGTTTCATTTATAATACATTCTTTTCTTTTTCGGAACGAATATTAGAAAAATGCTTAGCGTTTACACGAAAAAGTCTTCAAAACACTTAATTTCGAAATACTAACAGAGATTCAATATTAAATTTGACCATATTCCTTCAACCAAT